GTGTTGAATTTTTTATTTTTTAATATAATAATTCAAGTATTTATTATCATTTATTTATATGAACTAATTTTTTTATTGAAATTAAACCTCAATTAAATTTAAAATTATTATTTACTATATAATTGTATTATTTTTTATTTATAAATTTATTTTTTAAATTATTGGTAGTTTAAGAAATATTTATAGTTTTTTTTTCAAAATAAAATATCCATCATTGTTTCTAAAAAATTTCTTTAAAGATTTATATGTATAAATTACATTATTACATATTTTAGATATATAAGTATTGTATTTTTCACATAACACATATCTTTATTGGTAAAAATCATATATTAAAGATTGTATTTATATTTTTGTTGGATATTCTAAAAAATAAATTACGAATTCTATTATGCATAGTGTATTGATTTATTTTTTGTATTATAATATCATCTATTTTTGCAATAAAAATTAAAGATGTAACTTAAATGTTTTAGTACTTTTTGTAATTATGGCATATCTTTTGTTTTATAATTTTTTTCATAAAGTATTAGTTTTCAAATGTTTAAAATCAGCTTACTTGGCCTGTGGCATTAAAATATAAGAGTTTTCATACATTTTATCAACACATTTAATATTATATCATTTGTTTAATAAAAATTAATATTCAAAATTATAAAAAAATAAATGTCACTGTTATTTTTTTTTACTAGGCATGTTACAAAAAAGATGAAGGCCATTCAAAAGACTTGGCGAACACTAAAAAGTTGATACTAAAAGTTACAGGATCGGTCCCAAAATACTACCAAAAAACATATTAGAAAAGCACTATTTTTCACAAGCACAATAACCTTATTTCTGTATGTATATTTTCACATATTAGAATGAAAAACATTAAATCTTAATGTAACTTCCCCATGTTTTTAATTCCATCGGAGTGTCAAGTTCATCTCCTGTTAATATTTGGCTACCCTGCATACACCATTTTTTGCATCCACACAATATTATTCTCGTTCTGAATCTTAACATGAAATAATCAATTACATAGTGAGTGAGAATGAGTAGTATCTCTTTCTCACAAACACACACACACACACACACACATATATATATATATATATTTTTTTGTATGTGTGTGAGGGAGTGGTTTTTTAAGTGCAAATATGTAAATAGAGACAAATGATGTGGTCAGTTAGACAAGCATTTACAAACCAGGTTCATGCAGCGAAACCTGAGGGAGCCATGTGGATCAGTTGTCGGCCTCGCAAACTACCTCATCTTTCTCGTCGTCTTTCTCATCGTCTCTCTCGCTTCCTCGTGCAGCATGTGGAGCCTGAATTGGGTCTTTTCTTCACAAAAAGGACTCGTACCTCTTGTACGTCGAAGAACAAACTCAAAGGGCAACTTATCCAATTGCACGGATATCCAATTGCATATTTGTTCCCTTCGAATTGGTTCAATGATGTCTCACCGGATCGAAGTTGAAACATGAGCGAATACTAAACTGGTTATTGTTTTGTCGCTACAAAACCAGGGCGGACTTGCAGACATGCTCTGCTTGTTAGTCTCGGGTTCCTATGCTTATGTCCAGTGATGCGTGTTCGGCACAGCTTCTCACACAGTAAGAATAAAAAAACATTACAACTCTGAGGTTCGAATCCCTGTTTTGAAGGTTGGGATTGTGAAACTTGGATGTGAGCCAGTTTTTTGGGTAAACAGGAGCGGGAGCATGGGTGATTTCAAACCAGAACTAACTGGCTAATGCACGATTCTCCAGATATTCTAGTTGAGGCTAGTTGGCTGCTTAGATAATGCAAGAAATCGAGTGGCCGTCTATGAAGTCTTATTAACTGCCATTAACTGATAGATCTTCAGCCACCTATATTAGCTCGTGACAACAAGGCCTGTGAAAAATAGCCCAATCTGCAACCGTCAAAAAGTTGCTTCTTTAGCCTCCACAAGTGTAGTTAAATCAGGGAAACCCAGTGGCACAATATTTAACTTCGGCACAGTGAAACTATCCATTCCCGAGAGCCAATTAAAGTTCTATTCACTGAGCAAACTTCCCTTTTTAAGAAAGGTTGCGGTTTGTCTCTCTCCCTTTCAGCTTAAAGAATCACAACCGCAACAACCGTCTCACCTGAGCACATTTTTAAACCCACCGTAACTAGGATGGTGGAACATTGCGATCGATCCTCCTGCTACAGAGGCATTTTAATAGTTAAACCCAGCTGGAAACTCTCGCATAGACTCCTTTTTCCAGGCAGCCATCCAGCTGAGTTGCTTTGCTATTTTTGAGCCTGAGTTCAATAATAACACGATCGAATAAACTTGCACTGGGCTTCAAAAACAGTCTCGTCCCGCTTGTACTTCGACGGGAGCTCCAGAGTTGGTGAATGAAGTCTGTGTCTCTGAGGGCAGGCTTATCGAAGAAAAACGAAGGCCACGATTAGCAAGCTGCCTGAGCAACTCTAAATGAGCACATCAGGGACGTTGGAAGACGATGTCGACTGGCGGATCTGGCCAAATTTAGTCGCCGAGGTAGAGAGATTCAGTCTGTGGCTTTCTCGCAGTGACTTGGAGTGGAGACAAGGCTATGGTTCTTGTTGGTTTTGTCAGTTTGAAAAATGTCATTTCAATGAGAATGATTGTCTTTGAAATAGTGTTTTCAATTTTTGCGCCATCATTTTTGATATGGCTACAAAAAGCAAGACATAGCATTTTTGTCGACTATTGAGCAACATTGCAACCCAAGTAGAAACCCTTCAGGAGAATCGGATACTTGTGCCAAAAGCCTTTCATAGCTCTTCTTGTGTGTGTGCATGTGTGTGTATAATATATATATATATATATATATATGTATGCCCATACATACACAGAGAGGGGTTCAAAACAACATACTGTGACATGCGAAAGATTTTCAACACCTACTACATTTCCTATTTTTTTGTATCAAATTTATTTCTTTCTGTGTTTGAAAACGTTTGATGAAGTATGGTTGTATAAAAACCAACCACGGCCTTTGCACTACTCATGTGTCTCACCAATCATAATCACAGATTCCTTACTAATATTCAGGTTGTTCTTCAAGTAAGTTTGATCCCAGTAGATTTTTCAGTTGAACTTGATTTGCAATCGAAATATTCTTAAGAATTCTAGCCAGCTGGCTAAATATTCTCAAATCCCTCGAAGAATGGACCCAAAAAAAAGAGTTTGGGTCCATAGTTCGAGGGATTTGAGAATTTATGAAAAAAGATGTGCACATCTACCTATTCCTCTCTTTGAAAGACATCTTGAGGCTTTTGTGGTGATTATGTTGAAGAAAAGAAGCAGATCCCAATCCTTGATACTTTGGGAGTATTTTGCTCCCAAGAATAATCTTTGATGGAGGAGGGACTGATCAATCACCATTTAGGCAAATCAAAGCTTGATATTCTGTAAAAATCTAACAACTCTGATTATTTTATTTTTGTATTTTTGAAGATGGATTTTTTAGCTGAATTCTTAGAAGTCGAACTTGTATTGTTTGTGGCGTTTTTAAAAGATACTCTTAGTACATTATCTTCCTTACACCTTCTGCTGATGTCTATTTGATACAAAAAATAATAACAATAATAATAATAATAATAATAATCGAGTTTATTTAATGAAAATTTGACGTTCTCAATTTTTCTTCTTTGATCGATTTTAGATGTGTAGCTTGAATCTGTATCATTGTTGGAATAGAAAAAGTGTAACTGTTGATAGTGGATGATTCATGTACTTTATCATGTTAAAGTTGATATATATCATTCATATTTGAATAAGACATGTTAGTATACATTCAATATTTAGTGCTTTCACAATTATGGGATTGTTGTTTAATTATAGAAATTTAATCTAATTTAAATCCTTTTTCAAATTTGAAGGTAAAATATTTTTAAACATTGGATTGTTTTCTTTTTCTTTTTTCTTTTTCTTTTTTCGTATTTTAAAGAGATTTTTTTTTTTTTTTTTTTTTTTTGATATGGCATATTCTAAAGAATGAGTTTGGTTAAGGATTTTGAATGAAAAATAAGAATAAATATTAGGTTAACTAGTATAGTTGATTAACATGCCATATTGTACCCATTATGATCATGTCTTGTAATTTATAGTTTTAAAAATTCATGTTATTACCTTGTAAGATATCAATATTAAGAAATTTTTGCTCTAGTAAATTTTTAGGCTTGAGTGATTTTAAAAAACAGAAAACAAAGAGAAAATCTTATTTAAAAAAATATATATTGATTAAAAATATAATTTTCCTTTATAATATTTAAATCTATTTATAGGTTTTTGAAGGTAATCCATAAAATAATTAATTAAAAAATTAATAAAATATTCTTTGTAAAGTTTTATTAATTATTCTTTGCACAAAATATCTTTATTGAGTAAGTAGTATTTTTAGTTAATTAATTCAAAAACTAAAATGTTGGTAATTTTTCATTCCAAATATGAAAAAATTAAAAGGAAAATAAAATAAAATACTCTTTTATTTAGTTTCAAAATAATTGTATTTCAGAAAGATCCATATGCTTGCTTATGCTACAGATATGCCATAATTTTACCATTATTATATTCTATTCATAAAAATACTGCTAAAAAATGTTAAATATTGAAGCAATGTTTAGTAATATTATCAACTACTAACTTTCTTAGCATTTGTCTTTTTTTCATAACCATTTTATTCATGTTTACAAAAAATCAAATAATCTTATGTTCCCATAGAAGTAAAATGGTTGTAAAAATAAAAAAATAAAAAAATCACAAAGTTCTTTGGGAACATAAGATTATAAGGCAACACGAGGCCCACTGCAGACGAGGGGGATCTTACGTCGCAAATTAAAGAATCTAGAGATATCCCACCAAAGATTCGTCGGGGTCTCTCTTGCAGATGAGGCGCGGGGCTGGCGTTCCTAATCGCGGCACCAAGGCCCATGAGCGGCTCCAGCATTCCTCAAGGCTGCGTGGTGCTGTCGAGGCGCTGCGTCTCGCCGCAATGGCAGCCCCTCTAATTATTCACCGCGACGTGTGTTTAGCTCTCCGCGGAGGGTGCGTGTGTGCGTGCGTGCGTGCGTGAATGAGTGAATGAATGAATAGCGCAGCTCTCCCCGTGTGCCCATATTCATCACTCGGTGCTGGTTCAGGTTTCATTCTGGGCTCATCGGCGTAGCCGTGTCGGTTATTGCGTCGCTGATCGGGATGTCGGATGGTTGTGTAGTGTTGTGCTGCTACTAGCTAAGAGATTCGCTTGCCTTTGTCGTAGTTTTTTGCCCCCCTTTTTTTTTTGCTGTTCTGTGTCGAGTTGGCGATTCAGCTGCATTTTGTCATCTTTTGTATTACGAGATTCGTAACGAGGTGTAAGAGTTTGCAGCTCAGGGGGAGAGATTGGTTGATAGCGACTGGTAATCGTGAGTCTTCCGATGCATTTCTGGATTGTGAGTGATATGGACGTGCGTGAAGTTGACTGGTTCTGTTTATTTCCTGTGAGTTGCGAGGATCTCTCAGAAACATTGCACACACTCTGTTCAGTGATCAAAGTTGCCACGGCGAGATTTGTTCGTGGCTAGTTCTATCACCGCTGATTATTCTGTTTTGCGATCGACAGTTTCATTAAGAACCCAACGTGCAGAATGTACTGACAATCTTCAGGCTTATTGAAGAGACTGAAGTTTGCTCAGTGGTTCAGTGATTGTGATCACTGCTGGGACACTCGGCCGACACCTGAAACAATGCTGAGACCAAACTGACCATCTTGTCAGCTCTTTTTTCGATGCCGTACGAGCTTTAGGAGCGGGTCCAGAGACTCACTATCGACGTTTGTCAAACTTTCAGCTGCGAAGTTGTGGCCATGTCGTTCTAGAGCTCAAGGAAATTGGAACACTACAAGTCTGTACAGGAAGTTCAGTGTTTGGTTACACCCTTGATCATTGAAAGCTTCGCTTACCAACATGGCGTCACTGGAGGGTTTGATTAGTTTTCAGAGCTCGGGACAGAGGATTATTGGCGAGCCTTCAGTTCCGAGGCCCATCGGGGTCCAGCAGGGATCCGTTCTCGTCGTCCTGGATGTTAATAAGGGCGTGACTCCAGCTGCTATTTACTGGACGCTTGCGGATGTAGCTCGAAGGGGTGACAGCGTCAAAATTCTGGGGATTATCACTCACATTGCAAATACCAGTAAGTTTCTGTGCTGCCACATGTGGCCAAGCACGATCTGCCATAGCTAATTCACTTTGTAAATTTTAAAAATAATTATTGTCACGGCAGTAGCTGGGTAAAATTTGCCCTTGACGGACGACCGACAGGTATGCCAATCGTCAGAGGATATGTTTGCTACTTGTATAGACTGTGAAGTTAAAATTATGAACGACTAATTTTTGAAAGCTGGGTCACGGCTAGTGAGACTTCTGTCGCGACGTTGACGGTGTTGTAAAATACAAACCTAGAAATTGAACATAGTCACATGTTTTAACAGATTTTGAGAAGCTCACATGAAGCAGAATAAGTAAGAGTTAGACACACAGACAAGTGCTGAAATCTTTGGAGCACTTTGGTAGTCATTTTGCTACTACATAGATACAGTATTTGAATTAACCGTGTTTCCCCCACACAAACAATTTATGCGCTACCAGCATCCAAGATATAACTAAACGATTCCCCTGCAGAACTAATTCGGGCGTGAGTTTGTGCCGCAGCAATAAGCCTTGTATTTGAAAGTGCTGTGGTCCTTCACAGAATCTGGAAATGTATTATTTCGCGACCTCTAGCTTCGCACAAGTAGATGCATTCAGTGTTTAGGTTCTTCAGGAGTTTCATTAACCGCAAGTTTTTTGTGTGGCAGTGGGGTTCATGATACGAGTTGATCAATCGACTCGGACCAGTCCAAACATAATGGAGCTCCAGTTTGAGATCGCCACCAAGAAGGAGGCCATCTGGAGAACGGCTCACATGAAAGAGTGGTGTCAGAGAGCAGGGGTGTGAAACCTGATCATACAACTCTCATTTCTTTCAGTGAAGATCCGCACTATTGCCTGAAGCCTTTTCACTGGGATGGTCACTTCGGTTACAGAACCTGCTCTGGATTGTTTTGAATATTAAGTTCTATATCCTAACAAAAGCTGCTTTAAACAATGCAGGTGAACCTGGATGTCAATGTGAAAGCAGGAAACAATCCTAAAGTGATTGCAATTGACGAAGCCAAGTCCATAGGCGCCTACCACGTCGTACTGGACAAGTGGGTGATCGATTTCCTAATATGCTCGACTTGTGGGATATTCATCCTTTAAATCATTTGTGGGGTTTGCCATTGTTGTGCTTTCTTGAAGGAAATAGCAGTCTGGCGTCGTTTCTTAAATCTGATTCTATGCAGGCACATGAAGAAAGACAGGAAATACTTCGGCGAAAACCTCACTTGTTTCGTCTCCCGATTGCGCAGCAATGGCGGAGTGGAGACTATACGGTCCTTTGAAATGAGCAACAAGCTTCCGCCCATGGCACCTACCACAGCCAAGGGATCTTCGCAAGCTGGTCACCTATCCAAGACATCCGTGAGCTCCAATGCCTCCTACCGTGGCGCGTCGTCCATGTCGTCCATATCATTCGAACTCGGTGGAGAGTCGAGTGTTGGAGAATTTAGCTTCCATGAAGGCGATCCGCTGTCCGCATCAAGTGTTGGTGATTCCATGGACCATCCTATGTTTCTTACGATTCGCGCTTCTCCCCAGAAGCAACCCCCAAATCTGTACAACCTTCTGCGTGGGCCAGTTCTAGAATCTGGTGATATTGGTTACATGAACAATCCCTTGCGCAAACCAGCTGTTCACAAGTGGTTGAAAGAAGATGATCGGATCAATGTGACTGAGCTAGACCGGATCAATGTGTATGACCAGCAGCAAGGGCTCCTGACCCCTAGAGCCGAGTTTCGTTTCGACCAGGAGACAATAACGCCCAGAAGTGAGTTTTTATCAATATTGAATTCTACGTTTCATTTCTTCGTTTGCGACTTATAGTTTAGGAAGGAGAAAATTTGGATCCCACTGATGGACACTGTGTTCGCAGATGAACAGAACAATAATCCCAATCACTTGGGAAGCCACACTTGGATGTTGAACGGACAGTTGAATGTAGCCCCCGAATTTGGACAAAGCAAAATGGGCCGGCAGTCACTAACTGCGACGTTGCAAACCCAAGCATCCTTTAACAATGGTCGGAAACACTTCCGGCCGGACAAGTTGAGCATGGACGTGCTTTGGGCCCTTGTGCATTGGGCTGATCGCAGCCAAAGCGCGAGACTGCGGCCTCAGCAGTTCCAAAGCAGTACAATTACATTGATCTCCAACAACTCCATGAACAACTTCCGAGCCGCCGTGCGTAAAAGAGTCCCTGTATCAACAGGTCTAAACTACAATGACATGGTGGACTCCGATTAGTTTCCTGGTCCCTCCAACTATTGTAGGCAAGTACCAATCAAAATCATCTCTGCTTTCTCTGCTCTTTGTCGCAACATTCTCATGTTTCACTTCTGAGCATGTCCTTTCCAGATTACTAATTGTGACAAAAAATGAAGCCAACAGTAAGACTCAGGTTTCGAGCAGTTGGCGTATAAGAGCATGTTATTGTGGTTGAAAACCGTTAGAATATGGTTTCGATTAACATGTAGGCGTTCTGATTTTGACAAAAACATGTCACTTCATCGCAGGAAGACTAGACTCTCTTTAGTAGCGATTAGAGCAATTTCACTTTTGTTTCAAGAAGGAGCTGTTGAGAATCACCTTCCGAAAGCCAGCATACGTCCTGTTATTCTTTCACAACGGCCCCTTTAACATGTGGCCATCCGGCCACTAGACCACTGGTTGCAGCTTCCTCTTGGTACGTTGAAGGGTCATTAGTTACAATCGGACAACAGAATACTTCGTTGCCAGAGTGAAATTAGATTCCTTCGACGACTCAGCATGGATATTGGTTGCGAAATGTTGCACGCAAACCACACAAGGACCGGTTGTGGATGCCGTTACCCACATGTCACTTCAAGGAAAATTCTCACTAGGACCAATAGAGATCAAAACCTTCCGAGTTTGAAGCTTTTCAGCATTCATGTCAACGTTTTATGGGTGAGCAACTGGTCACTGGCTGATGGATGATTACATGCTTTCTGATGGCAGCATCTGGTTCTATTTGATTGCAGCACGAATTGGGAGATGGGCCGGCGCGCTCCAGTGTCGTGCCTGATAGATTTCGTCAACGAGCAATTTGGTCCACTCCCTGCTCCGGTAAGTGAAATGGTTAATAAGTCCTCTTCTCTGCACTGTGATAGAAGCTGGAAATCGAGCAAATTATGTGGCAAAATCCTCTGCAAAACCAAGTTCTGAAGGAATGTGTGATGCATCATGTTGTTGGGCTTCCATTGCAGTAGCTGCACCGGAACTCAACATTCATCTCTCAATCGGGATTGTACTCAAACCAAAAACTTCTTTCTCCATATTCTTGCAGCTCGAAGACAACTCCTACCAGCTTCGGAACTTTCGTGGACTGAAAAAGCAACTAATCATCGCCCCTATTCTTCATTCAGAAGAATTTTCTCTACTGAGGTTGTAAAATTCCCCACAATATGAGCTCTCGTTTCCTCGGAAAGCTTATGCATGGAGGGATGTAGCCGCTTTGGTTGCAGGGTAAACTAAGCTTTGCTTGTTTGCCCTTTAGTGTGTTGAGCAAAGGAGTTCGCGTGCATCAAAACAGTACGCATTTTTGTTTTTCAACGCATTCAAATCACGGCTTTGATGCGTGGTTTTGCTCCAGTCGAGCAGTAGATCTGCAGTGAGTCAACCTGTAGTTCGGAAGAATGGGTATCCAGTCAGGACCAACTATGTGTTAACTAGCGAGTTTGGAACACAATCTTACTCGAAGACCAGGTCTCTCTTGCTGACAGTCAATTGTAATACAAAGCTGCAACTTTCACATTGAAGCAATCTGCACAGCGGCAGTGCACCCATCTTTCTGCTGATAAGTTGAAGTGTATCTAATGTGAGCAAGAGTTCCAAAATCAATGAGGAAAATGCATTTCTGCCAATATGGTTTCCAGTGATTTTTCTTAGGCAAAGAGCATGGATTGTTGTATCAAAATATGTGGGTCTTGCAGAAGAAAGCGTTTTTTTTAATAAGAAAAACGTCATTAATAAATATATATATATATATATATATATTTGTGAAGAAAGCCGTTTATGAAAAACCTTGACTGATGGGTTTTTCCAGATAACCATGTTTGGATGTTGATTGAAAGTTTGATATATTGAAAAGACCATTTGAAATGTTTGGCTATTATATTAAATGGACTTTGCAATTGAACATTTCTTCATGAACCTACCTAACTACTTGATCTTCAAAATCTACTTTATGCCAAGAGGTCACATTAAGTACTCTCAAAAGAATTTTAAAATCATCCTTGCATGTTTTTAAGATTATGTGCTTCTTTCTATTTTTTATAGAGAAATCCTATACTACAATAATTCATTTGTTCTAGCAAAAAAATATTTATTTACAATAATAGGAAGAGGCTAAATTTTATTTTATTTTATTTTATTTGTTTAATAGCAAATAAATACTAACTTTCAATTGAAAAAAAGTTAAAATACTTGACTATCTTTTAACTATTTAGTAATTTAAAGATTAAATCAATAATAAATTATAATTATATATATATATATATATATATATCTAAACTGAAGTTATATCACAAAGGTCTATAATTTCCTTAAAGCATTACTACTAATCTATAAGATATGGATTATATCTTTGTCCACTTTTAATTGAATATTTTGAAGAAAACTTAAAAATCAATTTTTTAATAAATAAAAAAATAACTTGGATTTTAAAATACATCTAAAATAATTAGAACTATATATATATATACATATATATATTTGAATATTTTATTGCAATACTTAATTCAAGAGAATAATTAAAAAGAAATAGATAAAAAAAATTCTTGGACTATATAATCTCAACTTTAAAATTTTAAAGTAACTTTAAACTATTATCAACCTAAACTACTTTATTACAAAAATCTATTTTCATCAATTTTTTCTTTTCTTCTATCTTCAAAAACCTCATTGTTTTCATCTCAAAAAGTAAAAACTTACAACATTCCAAAAATTCTAAGCTAATCTTATCACTCAAAAATCTCTTCCAAATTTATGCTATTATTATTAAAAAATAAAAATTTAAAATATTATTGTAAAAATTCAATCTCAATAATATATAGATAGATAGATAGATAGATAGATAGATAGATACACAAAATACACAGATGTATATAACTATAAAAAGAGATTTTTTATTAATACAATTTGTTCAAGCTAGCCTTTCTTTTAAAAATAGGATTCCTCCAAGTGTTTAGTTGAGTTATGTAATACTCTTTTTTTTGCACCTTGGACACCATTGAAATTTGCCTCAAATATATATCCATAATAAAACTTTTTGTAACAAATTTTTACAACAGCCTTTTCAAAGAAATATTTAAAGTTACATTTCTTTTTTTTAACCTCAAAACATATTAAAGAAGATCACTCTTTTATATCCAATTAAACAATTTATTATTTCAAAATTTTTATATTTTGTATATTACTTGTAATTTTTACAATCTTCTTGAAAAAACCATTTTACAAACCACTATCAATTTGTTTTTTTTTTTCATTGTACAAATATTTTCACTCATTTTTATTTAATATAAAATGTGTTTATCATCAACATTTAAAACTCCTTTTTGCAAAAAATCTGTATTAAATATTAATTGGGTCAGATTTGTAAGACCATGATTCACTGGAACTTATGAAACTAGACATATAAATAAATAATTCTTCCATATTGTAAGATTGGCTTAATTGTGTTGCATGTAAATATAAAAGAATATGTATGTATATTTTTCTATTCACAAGGATGAAATATCATAAATTTACTCAAAAAGATATGGATAATAATATTTGATTAAATTTAATTTTCAATTTTGTTTTAAGTTAATATAGATAAAACATAAATGATATATATATATATATATATATATATATATTTCTATAACGCCTTTTTTTAATCACCTTGTTGCATATTCTTACCAATCAGTGGATGAAAAGGTCAAAATAAAAATTAATGTCATATTTCACCTCCTTTTATGAATAAAATTGTTTTATACACAGATTTTAAATAATCATTAAGTTTCTGGAGCTCAATAAAAATAGTCAGAATAAAATAAAATATTCCTGCATATATATATATATATATATAGTTGTAAAAGTTAAGCATTGGATCAATGTAACATTAAATTGAGCATTTTATCAATTGCATAAGCATGAGGACATCCACTCATGGCAATCATAAGCGTTGTAGTTTAAAGGATGTAAATGATAGAGTTTTCAAATCTCAAATATTTCATAGGAAGATGGCTGATGGTAAAAAGAAAAAATTGTGTGTTGTTATTTGTGCTTTCAGGATTACAAGCAAGCACAAGACACCACCTTGTAAAATGAGTTATGTTTATTAACTCAGTGAAAATCCCATGGCCTTCGGCCCAACACTATTCTTCTATGTGAAGCTACTGCCCGAGACTAGCCTATGCACTGTGTTAATTCTTGACTGCCACTGTTGTACGTTTCAATCCTTAAATATTCTTCAACCTTGAGCTGCACCTCCGTTAATTGTGGCGGCAATGTCCGTTACTCCTTACCTCCTCATTTACTGTGCTGTTGACGTCATGCCATTTTGTTACATTAGCAAGTATCATCCACGCAAGCAGATAAACTTTTCTTGAGCGAGTAATATGTGTGTGTATATATATATATATATATATATTCTTTTGGGTTGTCAATAACTCTTTAAATCAATGCTCATGTTAAACTAAAAATTTAATCAATTTTTCGAAATGGTAGGTCCTTGTGATGTGAGGATTTGGTCCATTCCATTACAAATGAGTATTTTGGGATATCTACATATTCAGAGTTTGCTAATCAAATTCCTGCAATTTTTTATGTTTCATATATGCTTCTTATACGACACAAATGTAGATATCCCAAAAGAAAATATTAAGATTTATAAAGCGTTTCAATTAAAACTTTGTCAGCTTTGTTGAACATAAATATTTTGCACATATAAATATTTTCATACTTTAAGTAGTGCCTTGCAATCAATTTTGTAAATAATTTGTGGGCTATGCTATTTTTAAAATTTCATATGTTTGTAATGATCAGTAGAAAGAAATGCTGTTATTGCAATGATGACTTGATTTTTATTATCAATTTAAAATGGTGGTATAAAGAAATTGTCTGTATAAGGACGAAAAAAGACTGTCTTTTGATTAAAGGCACACATTATATAGTAAAGAATTGGCTATCGAAAATTAATTTCAAACTCCTATGATTTGATCAATTTTTTTTTAAAAAAATAAATAGATGTTTTTAGTGAGGAAGTTTACAATAGTGTATTGAAAAATATATATGTTAAAGTAGTAAATTGATTCTATGACCAAGTTTAAAGGAGCATATTATATTTAGAATCATGACGTGGAGCCAAATGCTAGCTATTGTATAATTTTGAGTCAAAAGAGTATCACCTTTGAAAGTAACCCTGAAGTCATGTTTGAGGTCACTTACAAATGTACCAACATAGGCTAATTCTACAAGTCAATTATTCTATTCTAATGTCGAACACTATTAATGGTTAGTAGGATCCATTCACTGACAATATCAGTGGCGAGTAGGATCCATTCTCACAGACGATTAAATAACAAGTTTTTGGTTTTAGATGTAGTATTGATACAGAAAAAATTGAGGCGTTTCTCAATTCTTCTTTTAAATCTTTAGAAGCTTATAGCTTAAAAATCCTATTTTTTTTTAACGGAGTCATTTTATTAATTTTTCGACTTTAACATTGTCAATTTGTATAATTTTTATTTTCCTTTATTCTTTTCTATATTTTGTATTTTGTATTTTGTATTTTTTTTTGTAATAAGTTGTGTTCTGGACAAGATATTTAAATCAAAAAATAAAATTCATGGTTTTATCTTTAGAGAGATTAACACGAGAGTTATAAAGTGGACATATAAACCAATACAATAACAATAATAATAAATCTTACATGTACCATTTTTTATTTTTTAAAAAATTATTATAATAGATGTTTTCTACATATGTCATAGTTGGTTAGATATATGGCTTAGAATTCACACGTGAAAGATTAACTAGAATTTAAACTTAGACTTTGACAATATTAGATTAAGCTTGTACAAATAATTATTTTAAATAAATAAAAATTTCAATGGTCACAAAATATGTCATATAGGTTCTTTGATTGTTGAATACATGAACTCTCTAATAGCCACATAGGATGTAAATAATGATAATCTACAATCCACTAATTTACATGAAAAATATTATTAGATCTAAAATCAAAGAATTACTTGAGATTGAAAGTTTAACATGAAATATTAAGTTGGACGGTGAGAAACATGATTAAAAAATAAGAAAATAAAACCCTTCAGTGCAAAGTAGCATGTTCTCTTTTTGAATCAAACATAATACATATTTACTTCACGTAGGTCATCAGCAGGATTATGTTCCACCCACAAGTTTGATTAAGCTGTCACTTCAACTTGACACATGAATTGGAACGTAGCTTCAATTAAAGACCTGGAATGGGATATCACCCTAACCTGAGACCTCACTGGTTCTTGAGCATCCAATCCTGATCAACTCCACGTTAAAAATGGAATTGACCAGATTGAGGTCATGCCAAGCGCTTCAAGTTTCCATGAAGAGCGACCACCATAAATAGGGATCTGTGCAGCAGTGACCTGTAGCAGTGATTATTTAGCTTCTCTTCGTGACACTGCACAGACAGGTCGTCGACTGCGGTGGTGGATGGCTCAGCTTTGAAGCAGCGACTATCTTATCTGAATCAGCCAGTGTTTTTAC